TCGGCCGGGCCGGGACCGGCGCTCCGGGCGGGCGGAGCAGCGTCCCGCTGCGCGGGCAGCGATCGCGCTGTCAGAAAACGGAGGAGTCCTTACGTGTTAAGCATAACAGTCCGTTATTTTCTCTCACTGTTGCCCTTACGGGAGCGGCTGCCCGAGTCCTCCGTGCGGAGGACGCACGCTCCCCGCGGGAGCTGAGCGGGAGGCAGGAGGGCCCGCGGGGCACGGGCGGGCAGCGCTGCCGGTCCCGCCGGGACAGCCCCGTGCTGGGGTGGCTGGAGGGGACAGCGTGTCCCAGCAGCGGGGTGCAGGGATAACGCGGGGATGGAGAGCCAGTGGAGAACCAGGGTGAGTGGGGTTGGCACGAAATTGTCAGAATTATTTTACCTTTAGCTCGCTGTTTATACAGAACATGATAAAGAGAGTTGGGATTGTCTTAGAAACATGGATATAAAGCTTCTGACTGGCTGCTGAAGTGTTGCTAGGTTAATGAAGCCGGTCTTGGCTGCAAAAGTCGAGTTTCTAAGCAACTCACTTTATTATGCTTACAGTTCAGAGGTTTTAATATTTTTCATATTCCAATATGTTCCACTGTTCCAAGAAAGAAAGTACACTAATTTCTGTATTTCTACATTTGTGTATTTGATTTCTAGGAAATAAGCACTCAGCCGCTGTGAAGAATGAGGATGCTGCTCAGAGGTATAATTTCTAATAGTATGTGCCAATCATGTTTTGCTTCACTTCAAAATCACATTCTCTGCCTTGCATATATTTTTGCTTTCTCTTTTCCTTACCGTGACTAATTTAAGGAGATCATCAGCATCATGCAGGCTTGTTTGGAATGATGCTGTGTAACATCTAACAGCATGCATGTCTGTGCATTATATAAGAGGCTAAAAGTTTATTAATCTAACCTTCCAGTTGTACTTCCTTGGTCTGTAGCACTTGCTTTTAGCTATCTTTAAATATTTGCATTTTTCTTTATTCACTTAAAAAAACCCCACAAACACAACAACAAAATCAGGGAATAAACTGGAAACCTGCTTTTTTTGGCCATCATGGTGAGATGCAGGAAAATGTAACCTGCTGTATTTTTTTAAAAAAGATCAAGAGGATGGGAAAATTGTTTATGGAAATCTGTCCTCTGTGTCATTTACTGTCTCTTCTGTTACAGGAAAGCAGCTCTGGAAGCTGCTATGAGAAAGAAGATTGAATTTGAGAAAAAAGCATTGCATATTGTTGAACAACTCCTGGAAGAGAACATTACTGAAGAGTTCCTTCTGAATTCTGTAGGTGTTGCAAGTTTTTTGTACTATTTTGTATCTTAGTGTTCACCTTTTTTTTTAATAAGCTCTTGGAATAATTTACTGCAGTGTAAAGTGGACAACTTAAATTATTTTCTCTATTGTCAGCTCTGATGATTGCCTTACTTTCAACGGTTCTGCAGTGAAAACATGGCCTAGTCTAGCAGGACTGTATAGGTGTATGAATCCTCACTTTATTAACACAGCCTTTGTTTATGCTTCTGCAGATCTGGGCTGCTAGATGAAGTGCAAGCATGTCTAAATTCACATAATTATTTAGACAAAGTGTCTGTAATGCCCCACAGTTTATTTGGCAGCACAGTTTTGCTGAAACAGTATGATGATTGGTTCAACCTGTTAAGATTGTTTGTAGCCTGGTAAATAGTTGTATAAAACATGTAATGAAAGCAAAATTACGAAAATAGGTACAAACAAAGGCAAAATTACGAGGCTTTTTTATATGTAAAAAAAAGTGCCTGTGTCATTCTTCATTCCCTATTTACCTTTTTACTATTATTACAGTGTAAGTTATAAATGTTATTTATTAAACTTACTAAGTAACTGTTACAAAGTTAAAAATACTTTTAATCAGATGTTTAGAATATGAAAGAGTAACATAATTTCCAGAATCTGTTGTTGAACTATTTTCTTGTCGTTTTAGGGAAAATGTATTACTCCATCTCACTATAAAGACATTGTTGA